TTGAGAACCATGCAGAAAGACACTCAGGAAAGTGACTGCGCTCGATGATGTGTGCAGTAGAAAGATGCCCAACAGCACATCTATTCAGTGTCATATGTCAGTAGACGAACATAGGTTTGTGTGATCTGTTATTGAGTCTAAAGAAAACATTAAACTGTGCATCATCGATCACTGTTGAATTGAGATTCTGCTGTATACTGGGGCACTTTGGGGAGGGCTGATACGGATCACCTGCCTGGAATAGCTGAAATTTGGTCATTATAATCATACCCAGTGAATGGCATATTGCACTACGCATCTCTCTGTATAATCCAGGCTGATTATTAAAGGCTCTGTGCAGAGCTACTGAACAGAAACAGATGAATGCCGGAAAGAGGCATCTGTCTCGCGTAGGATACAATAGACAAACCTTCAGAGCCAAACCAGCTGGCAAGCAGCACAAAAACTGGAGTAGATGCCAGCCCACATCAGGAGTCAGCGCTGGGTCCTGTTGACCTTGTGGAGTCAGGAGTGTGACAGATGAGAAGGAAGGGAGCTGTGTCGCTGCTGACACAGTGACAGTCCCAGAAATGACGGGTGACTTACTGAGTGAGGCTTTGAGCTGGGCTTGTGTAGTTTTTATAGTGAATTTCAATGTCTTGTTAATCAAGGAGGGTACCCCTCTGCCCTAGTGACATCACATGAAGGCACCTCAGAAGAGGGAATGAATTCAAATACCTTGTTTCAGTGGTTACTGCTCCTGGTGCTCCCTGCAGTGATTCCTGACGCTGCAGCAAAGCTTCTTAAAGCAAATAGCAGAAGCCAACACTAATCCTAAATAATAAAAGGTTCTAATAAAATTCAAAATTGAAGCCTATGTACATATAATATAAGAAACAGACTTGGTCACTCACATGAAGTGAATGCAGAAATAAAAGAACCTGAAATTGAGTTGACCAAATGGCAGGGAAGTGATACAGATTAATAAAATAAATGACAAAAATATGAAAGGTTGCTCAGCTAAAGACAAATTCTGAGACAGTTCCTATAACGTGCATAGAAAAAGATGCTGATGTAGCTGGAATGAATAAGGATCAGACTTACTGAATTTTTCAAGTAAAATAAAAAGCAGAATCTTTTATATACTTAACTCTTCAACCAAGCATATTTAAATAAGTATTTTTAAATATACTGACTTTTTTAGATTTGATATTTCTGTAAGGCATTATATTTTTTTAAAATCCATTCAAACAACATGACTAATATTCATGTTTATAAAATATCAAAAAATTAAAAAGTAAAACCTCTATCTGTGACATTATCCTATAGGATTTGCTCTTTCTTTTTTTCCTCAAAAATAAGTGTCCAGTCTTCTGAGAACCTTTTACCCTCAATGAATTTGTGCCTCTATCAGTCCCAAATAATCACACAGGTTTTGTGCACACTCCTCATGTCCATATCACCACCTCCTTTGAGAGTCTAAGAACAGATCAACTACGAAAGAAGAAGGTCTGCCTTGAAGTTGATTTGCTTCCCATAAAAACTGCCTCTGCCCCAGTTAATTCATTGTATTTTCAAAGCTGTCACCACAGTACATGCTAAACTTCCAACTGATTTTTTTTTTTCCTCTGTTAATGGGTGCAACTCTGAAGTCCCAAGTATTCACAGTAAGGTACCCAACAACTTTCACAAAGCAAACTGAAGCTACTGTCACTCAAATTTCAATTTTTAGACCTGCATTCACTGGCAGATTCATTCTATATAGCGAGCTGGTTTTAGTAATCTGTATTCTCTTATTAAACTGTTGTATAATTTTATCATCACTGTTAAGCACCTGG